ATTCAGCCAATTTAATTTGCATAATTAACTCTCCTAGCAGTCTTTAAAGGCTCTGCTAGCAAAGATTACAGAATGAACGCCTAAGGACTGTTGCTATATCCTATTCATTTGAGCTCTCAGATCCTGTTCACTCTGAACTGCTGACCCCTAATATGAGGGCCAAATGAGTATGCAGGGTTCCCTAAGAGCTCTTTAGTGCCCCAAGCTTTGGTTATCTCATGGACAACTGGAAATTGATTGACAGGAAGTCAAGCCAGGCTAAATGGGTAGAAAAAGGGTTCACACATTAGCCAGGTCAAACAGGCAAGAAATTGAACCACAATGTCCCACAAAAATTTTGGAAAAATGTTGCCCAGGTAATTTGGAAAGGGAAAAGTACTAGAAATTGATCTGAAAATTATCCTGTTCACTGTCTTTACCATGAAAACTATAGTAGTTAATCCCCGGAGGTCATTTGAGTAAGGTAGATACTAAGATATATTTAAAGGCAAATAAAATACATTGTTTAGAAGATGTTTTAAATTATAATAATGGCATATATAAACATATACATACATATAGACAGCAAAAAAAGCAGAAAGTCAAAGCTTTTCTTCTTTAGAGAAAACTTACCTGACTTTTTACATTTAGTGTGTTGGGTAGAAATAACTCTACATTATTTGCATAAACAGTTACTTCTTGATTTGAAAATCTTCACATATGTTTGTTATTATCTCTTATGAAAAATACTTTACCCACATCATCTCCTGCAATCATACCTCCTTCTCCTGATGACTTTTTAAACTTTACATAGTTGTTTTTAGTCTGTTGATGATGGTCTAGAAATTTAAGAATTACCTTGATATCTTTATCAGTTCAAGAACTTTAGTTTCTCATCTTCCTTCTACAGAAGAAGAAACAATATATCCTTTACTTCCATCTATTTCTTTGCTCACACATCATTACTCATCTTCTCTCATCTGTGACCCTACTTTTATGTATTCAAAATTTAGAACATTTATATTGTCTTTTTAGATTTTTTTAAAAAGATGTCCTTTTTTTCCTATAGTAATCATTCTCCATTGGGAGCAATTCTGACTCCCAAGCTCCCACTGCAAAGGGACATTTGGCAATGACTGGAGACATCTGAGATCGTTGCAACTAGACTGCTAAAAACATCTAGCTGCTAGAGGCCAGGGATGCTGCCAAATATCACACTGGATATTCCCCCATTTCAAAGAATGTCAATAGTGCTAAGTTTGAGAAACCATTTCTGCTGAAGACTGAACAACAGGAGCTTTTCTTAGCAATACCAAGTAATAAGTTCTGTGCTGTTCAAAGGAGGATCTTAAAATCACCAAGATTCAATAAAATTCATTTTCTTAAATTTGATCATTGAATAAAAATCATGCCACGTTTGGAACATATTTTCTTATACGTTTTGTTATTTCTGGAATTTTTAATTGCTTGTCTTTATCTCATTGAAGGAAGAGATGCAGCTTTTTAAATCACAGCACTGGGATTATGCAGCTTCTTGATAAAAGGTCAGTTTTGTACAGATTGCTTATTATGACTACTGCACAGCTGTCATTTGGGATATATTTTTTTCCCTCTCTCTCACTTCTCTCCAATTTGCTTAGATTTGTCATCTTCAGTTCTTAGATTCCTTTTTCATTTTGCTGATATAGAGTATTGTATAATTACGTCAAGAAAAATGTATGAGAGAAAAATGTTGCATAGCTTCATATTTGATCGTTTAATAGGTTATAGAATCCCAGTTTCAAAACTGTTTATCACAAAACTTTTGAGATAATATTTCTTTGTCATTAAGTACCTAGTGATCCTGAAAAAAGGTATCATGTTCATCTCATTCTAATTTCTTTGGGGTCATCCCCCAACCAGCTTCAAAACCTTTGGAGCTTCTCTTTAGCCTTGACTGTAGTAATTAGGTTCTTTTTATATGCAACTAAAGGATACAAGATTTAATTAACATAAAAGGTCTTTATATGTTTCACATAAAACAAAATATAAATGTAGATGCTTCTGGGGTTGATTTGAAGGTTTGGAGCTAGTTTTTCTGAGATCCTTTAAGCTATAACTATATTCTTCCTCCTTCTCCTCTTCCTCTTGCCTCTTACTCTTCACCCTCTTCTTCATTCTCTTTCTCCTCTTCTTCCCCTTTCTCTTTCTCTTAGGAAAAAAAAGTATTTCTCACATAATCTCCTGTAGCCAACTTCTCCCTTTTCATTTAATTGGCCATAATGGGCAAACATCTTCATTCCATCATTAAACTAGTAAAAGACTTATCTCCTGTGGTTGAAAGGGCACTGAACTTGTCTTAAGATATTGCTTCCCATTAGATATCTGAACACATTCAGATTCTTCTCAGTAAGAAGGAGAGGGAAGTAAAGGACAGTGTCTACTTTGTTCTGTTTTCAGATTTGGTAAGTAAATGGCAATGTCATATATAGTATTTTGAAATTTTATTTCAACATCATGTACCAGCTGTTTTTCATTTTTTTAGTTGTATAAAGGTAAAGGATGCAAGCGCAATTTTGTTACATGCATATATTGTGTAGTGGTAAAGTGTTGGTTTTTGGTGTCAACATCAACCAAATAATGTATATTATAATCATTAAGTAAATTCTCAGTATGCAGTGGTTCTGTTCAGTCTAAAAAGCATATTTTTGTTTGCATTCTACAATTAATCTCCCTATAATTTTTTGTCATCTTTTTCTGGAAGTACTAGTAGAGAGCTATTAGTCCTTTGGACGGATTCTCTTTGCTTTTTTCCTAAAAAATTTTCATATCTCTTTTTTTAACTATGTTCTAAGAAAATTCTAATCTTTTTTTTTACTTTCTCTTGATTTTTAATTATGTTGATTAATTTCAATACCATGAAGTCCCTGCATTGCTCCTTTCTCAGTGTAAGTTGTTCTTACATTAGTGCAAGAGCATCTTGATTCTGTCATAGAACACTAATAAAGATTTATTTATGTTCTGTTTTCTTCCCTAAATCATCATTATTTGCTATAGCGCCACATACCTTGGTTGAGTAACTTGGTCATACGCTTTCGTGCTGAGAATTTTTCCAACCTCTTTGTTAATACTGAAACGTTAATCCCATGGATAGCTATGTTTTGTTTTGCCTTTTTTCTCCTGCTCTTCCTTGCCTCTGTGTGAAGAAGAAGGTATATATACCCCAAGCTCTAAGCATGAGGATAGGGGATAACAACCAGTAGTCACACCCCATACCACCACTAGTGCCACAGAGGAGGATCCTATTCTAGGGCACCAAAACCCATTCTGAAAGATTTATCCACTTCCAAAAGGCCACTGTATTTTTGTAGAAGATTTTCTCTACTTTGGGCAAAATCAAAAGTCGATATATTTAATGTGTGTTTGTTGGTTTGAGGAGTGATTTGAAGGATGTGACAGACAGTAGTTCAATCAATCACTTCCATTACTACCTTACTCCCAAAACCCACTCTTTAAATAAATCTTCTGAATCTAAGGACAAGACTGTGAAAAATGACTCCAACCTCCCCTCAAGACCTCTCTCCTTGTGATATTTGTGACTTTCTCCCAATAGCAATCCATAAATCATACCACAGTAGACTTCTGTCATCCTGAAATGTATCACAATCTTTAGTTTGTTCATGTCCTCTGTGCCCATTCACATTAAAAAATAAAAACACATAATCTTCTACTTAGTTGACACTTGAATGATTATTGGGGAGACATGGAAAATAAAAACTGGCTTTTTCCTACAGTATTGAAAAGGAACTCATGGTATAGGTAACATTATTGGCTGTACATCAAGCTGTGAGAACAGATTATTGAATTCATAGGTTATACAATTTTGCATGGTCATGCAAGACCATATATAAACTCACAGTTCTATTCCTTACTCAAATATCAAGCCCACATCAATCCTGTCCTGGTTATATCTGCTCCTTATAGCATGATTCCACCTCCATATACAACTTTCTTTCTCACATTTTCCATGTATTCATATAGGTATCCATTCATTTATTTATGTACCATACATGTATTAAACCGCTCACACACACACTGTTTTTCTGTTGGACATTATTGAGTTATGCATGAATAAGGCACGTCCCTGATAAACTAATATTAACATACAGCAAAACTGGCATAGAGAATAATTATTATATAGAGCATGACAAATGCTTTAATAAAGTTATGACTATAGTGCAGTGGGAGGAGATTACCCTTCACTGACTATTGCTCTTTTGTAAATAAGGCCACATTACTGAGAGCTTGGTAATATTTTATTACTTAAATGTTTTCATGTTCTTAAAATGTCAACTAGTGGAAGAGTTTTATTTTGGAAACAAATCTGCTCTGATCATTTAAAAGAAAAAATAGAGCAGGCAGGGTGATCTGGTGGAACAAGCTCTGAAGAGTTGAGTTCCACCATGTGACTAACTTACTAGATCACTGAGAATAAATCATTTTACTATTTTTGGCTTCAGTTGTTTCATCTGTAAAACAAGGACTTTCTCTAAGTAATCTCTAATGATCTTTTCTGGATTGGTAGTTTAGGGTTGGTCATTCAGCCACATGTGCAGTATCCCCCGCCCCCACCCCCGCCCAGATACCCAGGTGAAAACACTTATTCCCAGCTCCAAAAAGATGGATGTGGGATTTGGAATCCTTAGGAAGGGGCAGTTTTGGAGTACACTTAGGCTGAGCTTCCTGACTTCATAGATGAGTTCTTCAGCCAGAAACAGTTATGGAATTGCAGGTGTCACATGCATTCTTCCATCTGGAGGCCAGGACACCGGAGGCAGCAGCCTGGAGCACAAGGAGAATGGACAAGGTCCTGAGATGCCCACACTCAGGCCCTGACAATGAAGCAGGATGTTTCGCTGACTCATCCACGGGACTCCTGACAGGTGTGCCTCCTTTACCAAGCTCAGTGCTCTCAGCTCCTAACAGGAGGGAGCGCGCAAGCAAATGAGACCGGAACTGGAGTACAGGAGCACCGGAACCAGCCAGCGAACTCCCTGCGGCCCGCGGCACTTTCCAGGGCGGGGGTGCCTGCAACCTCTGAAGCCCCAAAGGGCGTTTTTTACAGTGCTCTTTTAGCTCTGCTGACCGCGGATGGCTTAAGTGTTAACAGCTGAGTGGACTCTTTGCCTTTTCGCATGAGTTGGCCGCCCTGTGCCAGCAAGGGCAAAGGGCCAGTGTAACAGCTGTTTGTATCTGCACTCGTGGCTCCTGAGCTCCTGTCTGGCATACAGGAAAAACGAGGTCACATCAACAAATTGAAGGATGGTAAATGTTGGGGACTTTATTGCCAATGAAAGCGGCTCTCACTGGGAGCTGAAAAGGGGATGGAAAGCTGAAAAGGGGAGGAGGTGAGTAGATACCTGAAGTCTGACCATCTACAGCAGCTGGATTATTCTCCAAAGTTACACTGTCAAGCTGTCCCTCTGAAGCCAAGACACTTCTCTCCGACATCCAGCCGTAGTTTCTGCTCTTCTCCAATTGAGTATGAGGTATTTATGGGCACAGGTTGGGGAGTTGGGCAGCGGAGGGGGTGGGGGTAGGCATGGGTGGTTTAGGGAAAGACAGCACTCAAATGGGAAAACGGATACAAATTCTCACCTTGTGCTGCAGTTACAGGCTTTTCAGCTTGAGGGTGGGCTTTTCACCAGGGGCCTGCCCTTTTCTGCCTAGAATGTATCTACCTTCTGTCCCTGTGGTTACCTGTTCTCCTGGAAAGGCCCTTGGCCATATGAAGACAGTATTATTTGCTGAGAAAACCTTAAAAGGAGGATGCTCAATTGGAATTGGACTGAATTGTATTTGTCCTGAGCTTAAGGCAAAAGTTTTAAAGCTATGAGATATTCTACACTCAGCTGAATCTGAACTCCTCTTCCCTTTTTCTCCTTAAATCCTCTTAAAGCTTTCTAACATTTTATATATTTCACCCACTGAGAGTATCTTCCAAAGATAACTTGAATTTTCTTATGAATGCTTTTAGAGTGTCTTTTGACGATTAGAGTTAGAGTTCGGATCCTTTAGCATGGTCTTTGCATTAAAGTTATGTAAGTTCAACATTTCTCTTACATGTAAACAACACAGCTGTCAAGGTGCCAAGAATTCCTTTGCCCATCACCACAATTGAACTAAAGGCCAGATATACAAGTATACTCTCTTCATCTTTTCCATTAAAAATTCTACAATACATTATAGAATATAAAGGTTGTTATGGAGAGAGGTAGAAACTGAAATGGGAAGGAATTTTTTAATATTACACATGTGGAGAAGGGGTTTATTTTCTCTATATACAGTTTTATAAAATGTACTCATTGAAATGGACTTGGGACATCATAGCTCCTATTTCCATGATAGTGATAGTCATCATGAGGTCTGTAGTTTTCTAAGATTTTGGTAGCTATACTGATTAGTCCTCACAGGAAGCCTTAGAAAATTACAGCCCCTAAGGTGACAATGCTAACATCAGCAAAAATTCATATTGATTCTCTATAAGACTGTGACAGAAAGATCGTGGCTGGTCTGGCTGGGCTGGATTCAATTTGAGTGAGCACTGTCTCCTAGCTGGAAGTAGAGTTGAGGTAAAACAGAGAAAGTGAAAAAATAAATCTTTAAGAGGAGTCTGAGGAGGGAGCAAGACCAACAAAAATCAGGGACACAGAGAAGTGGCATCATTGGTTGCCAGCATGAGGGTGAGGATGAGATGGGTATCAGTAACTGGAATATGAATCCACAAATGAAAGACCGGACACATTGAAAGCAGATCCAATAGTTGGAATGAGCAAGGAGGAAGATGCTAAGGTTGAATTCTAGATTTAGGCTGTTTCCCAAAGCTTATTCATTTGCTCTCTTTGGCTGTCTGACTCCATTTAAAAGTTCAGGAGAGGTGTTTACAATAATATGCCAAGATCTTACATGATGAGAGGACTGGAGACTAGCAGAACAATTCTTCTGAGAAGAAAACAGTTTTGGGAGTCTGAGGCACAGAGAGATCTGATGGATAACATAGTCTTACCAAGCATTAATTTAAATCCCAAATGGAACAAAAGGGCTCTCAAAAAGGCTGTAAAAATTATATAGGTGTCAGAGAACACTGTTTGTAACAAATAGAGTATAGGAAAGTAGCTAAAATTGAAAATAATAATAATTTTAAAAAAGGGAAATACCAATGGTCAAGGTGAGGCCCAACTTCAAAGAAATTTGAGAAATAACAGGACTAGAAATTGGGGCATATATGTCAAAGGTGAATTATTTCTTTCTCTTTTACATTCTAAATTTTGTGAAGGATAATAGGTTTCTACTTGTGGTAAGAGACCAAAAAAGAGCCCATCACATGTGGTAGCACTTAATGGCACGATCAAAACAATAGCAATGAGGATAGGATTTTCAAATATTAGAGGATCTCCCTTCTGTACTTGTGTAGAATATTTTAAATTTCAAAACAAGGAATTTACATGATATACTGAGAATATGAATTTATTCAATAACTTTACTATAAAAGCATACTCTAATATTTTCAAATTGCACTATAGACAATATGTTATTTGTTCTGTTCCTGCAGTCCACTCCGCCAGCACACCTATCCATCCCTACAAAACTCCTTGTGACTCTGTATGCAAATCATAGCGTTTCACCACCGCCACTAACTTAGGACTCAAGAATATCCTGTTCCTCTCAATGCAAGAGTGTATAGTATGACTGGATCCAGGCCAATCAGAATCCTTCTCTAGATTTTCCATACTAACTCTGTAATGGAAAGCATTCTGTAAGCCACCCCTCTGATACCTGTAGGGAGAGTACAAAGTATATCAATGCTTATCTAGGATGATGCAGACCTAGCACAGCCTACAGTCATGTTCTAAACTTATGGTATAAAGCTGTGTGGAGAAGATACTATTGCCAATGCCCAGTGAAGAAGGGACAGAAATGGAGAGTGGCTGGGTAGAAGCTAGCACACTTTTAAATCCCTAAGTCCTGGTGTTTCTTATACAGACACCGCTTCTTTTCTTTAGAGTTAATGAAATCCTTAACTTTAGGGTTAATGAAATAGGTGTGGTGGCTCATGCCTGTAATCCCAGCACTTTGAAAGGCCAAGGCAGGCAGATCACCTCAAGTCAGGGGTTTGAGACCAGCCTGGCCAACATGGCAAAACGCCATCGCTACTAAAAATACCAAAATTAGCCAGGCATTTGGGTACAGACCTGTAGTCCCAGCTACTCAGGAGGGTGAGGCAGGAAAATCGCTTGAACCCAGGAGGTGGAGGTTGCAGTGAGCTGGGATCGTACCACTGTATTCCAGCCTGGGCGACAGTGAGACTCCATCTCAAAAGAAAAAAAAAAAAAAGAAGTTAATGAAACCCAATATTACTCCTCTCCTTTTTTCTTTTACTAAAATTAGTAAATTTAAATAAGATTATTACTTGTAAATAAAAAATATTGTAAAAAAAAAAAGTACCATTTAGGCAAATTGTTGCTTCTGAAGAGACTGCATTTTGTGATTTATACCAGAGTAAATTATATAAGAGCCAAATAATCATAGTAAGGACAGTGCAATGTCTTTATGACACTGATGTAGTCCTATTGGTAAAAACATTAGTTTGGTGCCTTCTATAGGTGAGGTTGAGCATAAAATTAAAGAGGCAAACAAATAAATGAAAAACAAGCAATAGTCTTTCTTACCTATAAAACTGATTTGTTTACCTCTGAATAAAACATTCATTACCAAAGTTCTTAGTCTATTAAACCTGTTAATTGTCTTCTCCTGTGCCTCCATGATTTGTACTTCAGGGATAATGTGGAAGAAAGTTGAACTCTTAATTTACAGTTCATCTTAAAATGGTAGTTTCCCATGGTTAACGTATCTCGGCTTATTTACATTGACAAAACTGAATGTTCCTTTGTAGCAAGTCCTAAATAGCTATTTTGTGAAGTTTAGGGTCACTGCTACTTTTGTGGAGTCACTTGTCAGAATTCTTTCAATGAAAATTTTTCTGAGTTCTTGCAAGCCAGACAGGTCTTTCAGAACTTTGAATCTTGTGTTGAAAAAATCTTAATAAGCATCTATGATATGTAACGTTTCCATCAAATAATGACATATTTTCATCTTGTGTTTTATCCTTATATTATGACAGAAATTATATATTTAACAATTTTTTAAGTGAGTGTAAAAATGCCTTCTACTTCCTCAGCATCTGCTAAATTGTGAGCCTTCTTCAGAGTTCGTGGAGTTGAAAATAGTAAGGGAAAACTGGAGAACAGGAAGAATGGGGAGAAGAGATATACTTACCATTGATTTGTGGTAGCACATCCTGGCATGCCCAGGGGCTAGCACAGTGCTACATACGTATAGCTACTGAGAGATTTTTACCAGGACGTGTGCCCATGTATCAGCGGCCACAGTTTCTTAACTGATTCTCTTTCTGTACTTTGTCGTCTGCTTTCTCTGGACAACCTTTCTAAGCAAGTGACACTGAAGAAGTGGTATTTCTGCCCATAACATATGCAGAAAAATTACTCAGTATTTGTATTTGTTCACTTTATTATTTTGAAATGTAAAGTCATGTGAGTAGGAATTTTGCTTGGTTGGTTCATCACTGTGGCTTTGGGAAGCTACAGTGGTAGTATTCTAGAAGGCTCCCAGAAAGTGATTAATGAATTAATGAATAAATGAATTAATAGATACAATCTGAAAGAAAAAAAATGGATGCAAAAAACATTAAGACTAAAAATTTCATAATACTGGGTAAGTTACTGAATAGAGTAGGTGAGATAAAGGAAGTTAAAGCTATTTCCAAAAATCATTAGATGGCTGGGAGAATGAGGTCATTAACTGAGGTAGAAAGCATATGTACAGGTGAGAGAAATGGCAGAGGAGGTATTTATTTTGTGGTCTGCCTGGCTGTCCTCATGGAAGAGTGCATTAGATAGGTAGAAAGGCAAGGCTGAAGTATAGGAGAGAAACAGGATCATAAAAGTAGATTGAAGCATTATTATCCTGAAGTTGATTGTTTAAATTTTACATAGATTATTGCTTCTGTCTGGAGTGATTGTTCTTTCTTTCTATGCCTTGAGAAACGTTCTATTTCTTCTTCATCATCCAGATTAATGGTATTTTTATTTGGGCAGTTCAATTGACAGAAGGATATGTAGTAATTTTTCCTTGATACAACCATCACATTTTTCCTTGAACACAGTATTAAACTGATGGCACAGCATTAGAAACAATAAATTATATTTCTTTTGGCTCTAATCCTCATCTTCATACACACTTAAGCAAAAATGAGGGTAAGAAATACATTTATTATCAAATAGTAGTAATAACACCTTAATAATAATAATAATGAACACTTTTAAAGCTAAATGAGTGAAAGTATTAAGTGAAATTGAGGCACTAGTAGTTGAAGAGAAGCTAAGAATAAAAACTAGGAGAAAACTATATTAAAATGGATAAAGAAATGCAACTTATGATTAATGAAAAGAGAATGGTAAAGAAGACTCAG